TATTTTTTTTAACACAACACTGGTGGCAAAAATACACATTATACCATTACGCGTAAGTATAAATCTTTTAAAGCAATAAATTAATACGTTATCCAGTAAGTGGATTTTTTGGAAGGCCTCAGGTGAAATTCCATAAAGCCGGCATATCTGCAAAAGAAAAAAATGTTTGCCAATATTAAAAACATATTAACGGACGGGCGGGATTTATGCAAATACAACCCCGGGCGCGAAAAATAAACGAATATCCGAAATTTATCTTCATTTTTATTGTCGGTTTTATCACTGCGAACGTAGTCAAACATTCGCGTTCTTCCTACAGGACGCCATTTGTAACCGCAAAACCTTTTATCTGCTTATATACTGACCGCTATTCAGTCTACTGCACAACCATAAAGGAAAACGGGATATTTGCATTTTTATGCTACGAGGAGACAAATCCTCCATCCTTAGACTTCGCTGGCTAAATCTTTCCCCTTGCATTTTTATGAAATGTGTTATTTTCAGCTGCATACCTTTTTGGGCTGCTATACTGCACTTTCACGTCCGGTATAAAATAAAAAAGTATGTTTAAAAAATACGTTTTAATAGTATATTATGTATCAAATTTTATAAACGCTATTTAAGTTAAAAAAGATTTATATATTAAGGATATTCTTTTAAATTAATGAGTGTATAGAAAAGTTTATAAACGAGGTGCATACTATACTTTTTCTACGTCAAATACTTATTATTATCTTAAAATGTTTTAAATCAAAAAATTTTATAGAGCGCCATCTATGACACAATACGGGAATCTGTGTGTCACCGTCAAATGTCAAATTATTCCATTTTATAAACACAATTAGAAAGGTTATAAATCGAAATGTATTTCTTGAAAATTGACAGTTTTTCACAGTGAAAGTAAAGAAAATGTTTTATGAGCACTTTGCAGTGGAGTCCGTGCCCGAATTTTAGTTATAGTTTACTGCCGGCGAAATTAAAAGGTCAGTACAATGTTCTTATAAACTTTTTAAATATTGGCGTTGAGAAACTATTTAATACTTTTGTATTTTTGTATTGAGATAATAAAATAATTTTCACATTTAGTAATATTTTATAAGAAAGGCAATTTATTTTAACGATTGTTCGACATTTGACAACTGTCAACTAACTTAAAACTAACTTCAGCCCGTGACTAAAGCGCCATAAAGCCACAACTTATCAATGTGTATTTAAAAGGTAACTTTGTGTCATAAAAACATGTACGATAAAAGTTAAAAATAAGTTTAAGTAGTAATAACCTTGTATCATTTTTATATTTAATTGGTTTTGGTTAATGGTTGACTAAAAATTGTATTATATATCCAAGCAATTTAATATTCCATATTTTTCCTGTACGGTATATAAAAACTTATAAACCTGGATAAAGTCATTCTAGCAAAATATATTAGGAACGCAACAAAGTATTAATACAATTGTGCGTTCCTGCAGGTAGCATTTACTTCACTTGCAGATGGTTGGGTTTTGGCTTTTGCTGCTAAAATCGAAACCACATATCACCAGGCATTTATATCAAGCGTAATTATTCCAGGCGTTTGTGCGACCAATTACTTTAGGTAGACATGCAATAAGAATCAATGTTACCAACGTGATAATAACTTGACATGTGAGATATACGCGTTAATATTATGCAAGTAAACGACTTGTAAATGATATGTGGACTACTCTACAAGCCTTATAACAGAAGCCTGGAGGCTACGATCATATAGAAAGTTGCTAAATAACAGTAATATTTATTTATTATTATGCAAATATAATTATTTGCATATTCTGGTTTAATTTAGATTTTTAAATAATTAAAATCCCATGTCATTAAAATGTTATTTGTTGGATTATTGTAAAATTGTATTATGTTCTATTAAAAAATTACAAAATTCAATATTTACCATGAATAAAGCTTTAATAGAGCTTTGAAAACCTGATTGACATGTTTATCTATTATGGATCGTTTTAAATTTAGTTATATTAATTTACACTGGTTCCCCAGCCATGTAGGCTTAATTATTATTTTAGTGAAATTATTAACTTGATATTGATTTAAATTAACACATATGGGACAGTGTGATTATTTTGGGAAAGGTAAAAACCTTGAACACGTTTAACAATATCATTTATATTTAGTAAGGTTTTTCTCTATGATCATCAAATTTTCATGACAATGAATATTTTAAAATAAAACTATGGAAAAATACAATCATTTAAATAAATAAAATTGAATACTTATCGCTGCATATAAATTATAATTTTTAATTTATATTATTGGAAGAGATTAATTTATTATTAATGTAGTAAATTAAAACATATTTTTATATGCTTTATAAATTAACATTCTCTTTACAACTTTCCATGTTATGAAAAATTTAATACATTAAATTTTTCCACGTAATGACAGTAAAATTTTAGTCACTCTTTGCTTAAAACTTAATATTAAAATTAAAACTTTATGACCAAGTGACGGAATTAATAAATTTCGTTGGCTAAACAAAGTTTAATAAAGTGCCTGAAAAGTTGGACCTTTCGAAAAGTTTTTCCTTAATAAGAAAAGCTTATTTAGACACTACACTGAAAGAAATTTATGTTTCATATTTGGACTACCACATACATTGCTAAAACAAACATATAATATATTTACCTTAACCATTTTTATATTTAGTTTTAACATATTATGTTAAAACTAAATATAATATATGTTTGTTTTAGCAATGTATGTGGTAGTCCATATATGAACCACAAACATTGCTAAAACAAACATATATTTCTTTCAGTGTAATAATAATTATAATTGCACTAAAAAGTTAAAATTTGCTCATATACTTTAATTAAATTTTTGTACAACCAGAGTAATTAAAACAAATTATGTGAGACGCCTTACAGGATAATTAATTTATTGATTTATTACATAAAAAAGTTTTAAAACTTTTATTAAAACAAAACTTATAATACTTTGTATTAAGGATTCCATACCAAATTACATTAGTTATTTATATAAACGCAATATTTTTTTACTTTTATAAATGTTTGCTATCTGAAAATATAGATTTAAATTAGATATATCAAATTTATATGTTAAATTAAAATATGTTTTTATTATTATATTATTATAGCATATTAAATTATTATAATAATTATTATTATAATTCATACGAACGAAAACATCGGCTTATTATAATAATATATAAAACAAACTTTAAATTAACTGTTAATGACGTAACCTAAGGGTGTATCCGAAAATAACAATTTCAATGCATATTTCAAATCCTTTGAGGGTGAAATATTATCATTTAATATCAAAACAATATCTTTGTTGAGCCTCGGTCTCAAAGGAAATGAAGATAGGAAAGCTTTATGTTACGTCTATTTGTCACTTCCAGACTACAAAATATTTTACTAACAAATAATGTACTTTAATATCACTATTTCTACGTTAACTATTGTGTCATCTGGATTAAAAGTTGAACCTAATAAATATTCAAAGCCTAGTTAAATTTCTTTTATATTTGATCTTGTATGGTATATATTTAATTTATGTCAAAAAGTTAAAATCATCCAGTAACGTTGAGTAAGTTTGACGGTTTCACGAGAGCGGAATATGCAATTCCAAACGTGTTTCAGACTATACTTTTTCTACGTATCCAAAAAATACCATAGAAAAATAATTTAATTGGAAGAAAGTGAGGTTGGATCGGTCCAAAATTTGTCTTCACCCAACGGTAAAAGACCAAAATTATGTATTACAGTTATATGTTATTATGTTGCCATGAATTCGTTGATATGTTTTGCTTTTTCTATTTTAAAATCCAGTTGTGGGCGTTATCAAAAATAAAATTATTTGATTTTCAAGTCATGTTTATATGATATGATTGTTTGTAAGATTTCTTTAGAAATGTCCAAACCTAAATTTAAATTAGGCGAAATACAAATAGCGTGCGCGGTTAAGCTATGCAATTGCAACTTTCCGAATAAAATTTGTCGAGTAAGACTTCTGCCTTCCTTTCTTTTGTGAAAAAACTTCTTATTTATTTAAAAATTATGTGCGTATGCTTCGTGTGCTTTAAATGTTTTGTTGACGAACCTTGTAGTCTAATAATTCTATCGAGCACCACTAGACAACGCGCGTGTTGCGAAAATGTTTACGAGGAGGAGGTTTGCCCCTCGAGTCACCAGGCGAGAGATGCAAATCATCCGAGTGTAATACTATACGTTATCTACTACAATTATAATATTGTAACGTTTTTACTGTCCGTAGTGTGAATTAAAACACGCACTGGTTTATTAAGGAACTAAACGATTTATTTTTATAACTTAATTACACTTAAAACACTAAGAAACTATAAAACTAACTAAACACTTAACTACTAATTATTCATATATCACCACTGTACAAGGGTCTATTTATTTACACGTATATTTATTTATTTTATCGCGAGTACCAAAGCTTGACTAACTCTCCATGATGCGTCGTTCCTTATATATTCAGCGCCTACGTCTTCTGGAACATTCCAGCGAGCTCCACACTCTAGATTATTCGAGCGCTGACTCTCCGGCGATGATTCATCATTCCGAGATCCAGAGCCGTACTCGCTGCAATATAATTAAATATTATTAAAAAATAAATTAATAAAATCTGACATCTGTTAAAATGTATAAATTTGAATTATGTAACATACAGTGCAATTAAATTCAAATCTAGCAAATGAGAGATAAAATCTCGCCTGGTACAAACGGGAAACAAAAGCATACTCAAATATTAATAATTGTTAATTAAAGCCTTAACAATTCACAATCCGACCGCGGCCAGTTAATTAGCCATGTATTCATTTTGCACTGACCTATGTTACAGAGTTCTTTAAAACGGTGTTGTATTTTTTCCGACCGGCGCTGTTCAGTAAAGGGGCGTCGGTTGGCGTCGCATATTCCACACAGACTACTCGATTTAGTCTGTTGGCAACATTTGAAGCATCCCGACGCCTACTCGGTGCTCTCTGCCTCTCTATTTACAATCTTTACAAAAGCGTTTCTCTGAAATCCACATGAATAATATTGTTTCCAGTTTTTCCCACTTCTCATAAATTTTGTTCTTGATTCTATAACATTGACTTTGTATAAAAATCAGTTTTTTCTCATCTTTTCTGCTTCGGTAAGTTCAAGATTAGAGACGAGTAGTGTATGCATCCTTACATGAATTTTAAATCTGTCACCACAATGGCAAGACTTAAACCCCCCTTAATATTCTATTAATATACATAGATAAATTAGCAGTATATTAACTACTCCATTAGAATGTTCTTAGCACGTGGTACGTTCATTCCTAGCAAATAAAGTAATTAAGGTGCACAAACCTGGGCGAAAAAAATGAAATTACCCAGAACTAATCTCTCTAAGTAGCTACTTACACACCGTAATCATTCAAAGCTTCTTAGGGGTTGGGGCAAAAAAAACTATTCGTTATATACTTACTTTGGAGAAATGGACGATATATTATTTTGATTTATGCTCACCAAATCCTTTTTAATGACAGATATATATTATGGTCTAATGGAAAATGTAACGCATTGCATTTAGTTGTTAGATCTATTGAAGTGGGTGTAAATATTGTATTAGGTAGTTTTTCATAAAAATATGCAAATGTTCATAAGTTTTTTGTAATAATTGTTAACTTTTAATGTACAATGCAGCATTTAAAAATAGTTAAAAATATTTTTCAAAAAAAATTAATAAAAATGGCGAATGCGTCGGGATTAAATTTATAATGAATTTATATAATATATTATCCATTTTAAATTATGTATTTAAAACAATTTGGTTTCAATTGGACTAATGTTGTGTAATGTTCTTGTAACTAAATTACTTGGATTTTCGATTTTAGTTCCTGACATCCTCATAGCAGTGAATAAAAATTCGGATTTTAGTTTGTGTATAATATATTTTTTAGATTTTAGTTTGTGTATAATATATATGTTATACACTCACAGGCAAAATAATCGATCCACACAAATTTTCGATAAATTTCAATCGCAAATAACTTTTTTATTTGATTTGATTTAAACAAATATTAAAGAATATTGTAGATACATTAATGAAGAATCCCTTTTATAATATACAGGTTTAAACAAAAATATGATTTTTACCATAAGTTTCAGACACTCTGTAGAGTGGCAAAACCCTATATTGTTCTAAATTAAGTTTTAATTATCAAGTCGCATCTATTTTTAACAGTTTTGTTTTTGGTTCACCTTGATATATTTATTTTTGTGAAAAATATGGAGATTAAAAAAAAACATTGCAATTTCCAATATTTTTCCTGTATGAAGAACTAAGGTTGCTATGGTCCATCCATAGCCTATGGAGGATGACAGTGACAGTTTTGTTGAATCATCCCATACTTGGACAGGTCATATACAGCTTTCAAAAGCTATCAAATTGTTTTTTGTAAATTAATGTGTTAATTTTGAGGTGTCTTCTTACTTTTAAAAATGTCTTCGACTGATGTTGCCCTTTGTACTTTACTTCTTGTGACGTTTAAAACACTTACCACGTAATTCTGTGACCGTCCATCTTGGATTAAATTAATGGTTTTTTAAAGTAAGAAGACACCTCAAAATTTAAACATTAATTTGCAAAAAACAATTTGATAGCTTTTGAAAGCTGTGTATGACATGTCCAATTATGGGATGATTCAACAAAACTGTCACTGCCATTCTCCATAGCCTATGGATGGACCATAGCAACCTTAGTTCTTCATACAGAAAAATATTGGAAATTGCAATGTTTTTTTTAAAAATCCATATTTTCCACAAAAATAAATATATCAAGGTGAACCAAAAACAAAACTGTTAAGAATGGATGTGATTTGATAAATAAAACTTAATTTAGAACAATATACGGTTTTCCCACTCTACAGAGTGTCTTAAACTTATGGTAAAAAATATCTTTTTGTTTAAAACTGTATATTATAAAACTACGTCTATTTTTTAGTAATTTTTTAAAGTGTAAGCGGTTGTCCATTAATTTATCTACAATATTTTTAATATTCGTTTAAATCCGACATCAAATAAAAAAGTTATTTGCGATTGAAATTCATCGAAAATTTGTGTGGATCGATTATTTTGCCTGTGAGTGTATTATAAAGGATTTATTAAAAAACAGTCTTATATATAGGTCTTACAACTCTAAGTTTCTATGTGAGCCTCTAAGGGGCGCTGCGAGATAAGAGACCACAGTGAAATGAACTACGACTTGGTAAAATGAGTTGGTCATGTAGGATGTGTTTTATGTTGACAGTTTTATTGTCAAATTATAAAAAATCTCATGTAATAATTGGTTGACAAAATAAGACACCAGAATTTTGAAATGGTGCAAAGTTTACAATTAACCAAATTCAATCTTATTTCACATGTTTTAGTTAAGTAGCCAACCTATAAAATCAAAATTGGGTGAGTGGTTACAATGAAGTCATTATGAACGCAAAATAGATAAAAATAGTTATAAGACCAATGCATATACATATTGTATATAAATCCTAAAGACATTATGCCAAAAGACTGTTTTAATTTAATATAGATATACTAAAACTGTTTATTTAAATCTTGCCGACAATAACGTAGCTGCATTTATTCTTCTGGTGTTTCATTTGATATATCACATGGGTGAGCACAGGTATTAACGCTCCAAAATCCGCACACATCTCGTTGTAATAAATTTCGAGGCTGCATGTGTTAAACCGCAATACCGTAAGATATTTTAAATAAGAAATATAACCCATTCTGCTCCATTCCATTTACGAAAGGAAATATCGACCTAGAATTTGGCAACAAATGTATGTTTAATTTAATTGTTCACGTGATTTATCGAAACAGTCCGGCCAAAATTTATTTTATGCGAATGCGGCAATTTGAGTAATTAAATAAAAAAAGGGTTTATTATATACTATACTATGATGTATTTTATTGTTTTATTTAGACGTATTTTGTTGTAAATCATTGAGATTTATTGTTTGCAGTTAACATACAAAAAAGTTTATTGTGAGTGTCCTGAGCTTTTAATGTAATAAAAAATGTGAGCACAATATAAATATACAATATACAAATTATCATAGTTTGTTGAATACAGATTAGGGTGATTCATTTTCGCAAAGTTTTTGTTTTTTTTGGCGTAAGAAATTGATAAATACCAACCCATAATGTTATTTAGATTGATTTTTTCTATTTATTATCATTATATTCCCTACACTAAGAACTTTTTTAAAATTATAATGATTTCTCACTCATAATGAATATGAAAACAAAACATAAATTCATAAAAAAACAACAAAACTTTAATCGGAATATACAGAAGGTTATGTAACATATTTCAAATTTCGCTCCAAAAAATTAAATAATCTTCATTTATATTTTTTTGCTATATGACAGAAATGTTGAAAATTTGCACGTTACAATTTTCTTATTGTTTTTTTTATGAATTTATCTGTTGTTTTTATATTCATTATAAGTGAGAAATCAATAATTTTAAAAAACTTCTTAGTGTAGGGAAATATAATGATAATAAATATAAAAAATCAATCTAAATAACATTATGAGTTGTTAATTATCAATTTCTTACGTTTTCAGTTATAAAAATGGCAGTAAATTCATTAAATATTGGTTGGATAACTTTTTTTTATGATTCAGCCCTTTTTCTCCCTACTTTTTGCGGTTTGTTAAAAAAAATTAAAAAAAAAAACAATTTTTTTCAAAAACTATCCTTTGACGACTCCTACTGGTGAACCAATGCGAGTTACAAAAAAAAAACTCAAAAGCAATTTTAAAGAGCGTGAAATTCCCCATAAGGTGTATTAAACCGATTTGCAATATTGTCAAAGGTGGATAAGCATTAGAAATTTGAAAAAATATATATATTTTTTACATGCATTTTAAACGGTAAAACTTTAAATTTAAATAGTAAGTACTTAAAATTTATATTAAGAGCTCAAACTTGTTGAGAATTTTTTTTTCTATATGCAGATTAATATTTTGCTTGAGCACCGAAGAAAACAAAAATTTTGCGGAAATGAATCACCCTAATACAGATTGGTCTTTAATAGAAAACTATTTTTAAAAATAAATTTTTTTATCAAAGAACTATATATATATTTGTTGATTTGGTCTCTGTACGGTTGTTCTAGGTTGTTATTGTTTAGTACTGCTATATGAGGAGTACTTGTTTCTCTTTTTTTACTACTATGGTCTGGTCTGATATGTTCTGTTCTAACCTTCTGTCTGTTATTTACCAGAACTAGACTGTACTTAAATGGCAAGAAATGAAGAACAAAAAAAACATTTTTAGCCACAATATTTTTCGTTGGAGACTTTTACTGATAACAAAACAACAAAGCCAAAATTAAAGTTTTTAATTTTTCAGTATCACTTTGGTCGTTCTGAAAACAACGGATTATACAGATTATCGCGATAAAATAGATTCGCAATTGGAAACTCGACATTTTTTGTAAGCTCGCCTATTTATCAGCTCGGGCTCGTTTAAAACAAACGTTCCTCAAAACAAATGACATCTACATAGATCCGATCGGCAGACGTTTATAAATTGAATGCGTTGCAACGCGTCGCTATAATTAACAAGTTTCGGTGGGGTTGTAATTGAATTAGTTCAGAATCAAGCTGATGCTGGATAGTTTTGATGAGACAGTATGGATTAATTAGCATTTAATGACTTTATTTCTTGATTTTAAGTACACTTCCTATAAAAATCTTTATTTAAAACTTTAAACTTTGCTTTAACAATCTAAAACAATTAAATCACCACCAAAAATATTATATGTAAAATACTTAAAAAGTTAAAAACAAAATCTATAAAATTTATGCTATATGTCAATAAACTTTGATAAATACGAGCGATAAATGTTGCTCTAACAAGTTACGCCAACTATCCTTAACTAGCGATCAACCCCCATAAATAAGAGTATGATATGAGTGAAGTTTCCAAGTTATTATCAATCACCCTCTCCGCATTATTCCAAGTTGGGCGGATAACTTTCAAGTTTAAACTTTGTCTTGGTTTCTTGATGGGCCATCAACGATATTCGGACCAAGTTAATTAAATAAGATAAATAAAGCAAAATGACTTATACAATGTACACTAAGAAAT